GGTAGACTCCACATTATGTGAACTATCATGAAATAAGAAATCAACGTAATTATGGGAAATTTTTCATTACTCCATTCTTCAAGTGTTCTAAATTTAAAAATGATTGAAATGTCACATTCAATGGGATTAATAGGGACTCTTGAGTTTTAAGAATCTGTGTATATGACAGATACGACTATTAATTCTTTAAGAATTCAAAAACCGGACTGTTGTTTAATTTAGATAATGATTTTTATAGAAAAGCTAAAGATATGTACAAACACGATGTACTTGGGTTGCAAACAGGTATTGCAACAAAAACACTCATGCATAAACATATATCCTGACACTCCAGCTTTGGCCACTTCCTATGTTGTATATAATGCTGTCAAGCCAATTGCTTACCCTGGCGTGACTGTGCCCCCGACTGTGTGATGCTGTGTCGGATTCGCATGTAGGGCAGACTTCTTTTTTTTTCCTGGGAAAAATCCGCAATGGATTCCCTGCCACTTGATCGGGGGACGTGCAGGGGTATGTGGGAGTCCCAAGAAGAACGGGTACCCACTTAAAACCCACGTTGCACCTGTCTCTGTCGCATCGGCCGGGTACACGGGAACACGTGGACGCAATCTACCGCGGCATTTAGGACAGACTTCTACGCACTAGTATCCGGCGGCGGATCCAGGGTAGTCGTTGCCTCTGTTAAACTCCCCGGCCTCCTTTCGGGTGCTAACATCCTCCCAGCATGCGAGGACAGCACCCCACGCCCTACCGCTATTCACCATAGCAGGAAACATCGAATGCAGCAAACGGTCTCGACCCAAGACAGCACACTCTCAGCGCTGCTCCGTCGAGGCATCTCCAGTGAGGGACTCCTCCAGTGTGGGATGACTATTAAGTATCGAATATCCAACAACCTGAGTAGGATGAGACGCCCGGAATGCGTTTGTACTGGTTAATATAAGGCCAAACTCTAAGGTTTTCCAAGAACAGTGCCTTCGATTGGATAATGCTACCAACTCTTAAATAGACCTTTTGAGGTTATCAGTATTTAAGGAATGTAATGTGTATGGGAAAGCAAGGTACGTAATTAAATTAATACGCCATAATTTGTCATTTTATAATAAAATTGGAGGTTATCTTTTTTGACACACTTGAGCCTTTTAATAAAGTTATTATTTGTGATCCTAAGTGACGAGTATACACTAAATTATTACAATAAACAACATTACAAATGGATATACAGCGTGTCGTTACAACCGCGACAATAAATAAACACACGTCTAACGCTAATCATAAAAAAATATAAAAGGTTAAAAAATTCGTAATTAAAAAAAATATTTTTTAAACTAATCAAATTAAAAAGAAACAAAATTTGTAACATCCTGTACAACTACAACTGACTAATTCATACATTCAGAGACTTGCCACAACGTCGCCTTACAAGTCTCTCCTTCTAACAGTATGTTTTATCTTTTTTAAATTCATTCAACCAATTCATAGGCTTTGTGATCCTTACAAATGAACGTTACAGTTTTATACGTTAGGGTGTTCTAAAAATTTTTGTTTTGTAAAATTTAATAACTCTGTAAATATTTATGTTTAAAGAATGTAAATGCTTGATACAATTTTAAAAAGTTATCCTCTACATGTGTGTTCATTTATTGACGCGGTATAATAAATATATATAAACTTTGACGTTAATCCGCATCAACAACAGGACAAAGACTCTATAAAATGTTCGAAATTTAAATTAGAATTAGACGCAAAACATGCGTCAAATAGTTTTATTTCACAACGTAGTATTCATGTAAACAGATTATCCCCTTTCCTTGTAGATTGGGTTTATGAACAAAATAGAGTTTGGATATTAGCTATTGCAGAAGTAATAATCAGAGAAATAAATAAAGCATTTCAATAAATTTAATACGAACAAGTGCACTTTATCTAAAAGAGATGTTATGACTTTATCCTAGATGTTTCAAACTTCCAACATAAAAAAAAAATCATTTGTTCTTGTATATTGGATTGGATTGGGACAAACTGTCCCGTGACCATGAACACTGTAAAGGGTTCGAAACGTCGGAAATTAAAACAAAAAATAAACGCGATATATCCGTAAACATAGTTTTATTTAGTAATTAATCCTTTTTTAATTTTATTTATCAACCGAAATTGTATACAACTGGTAAGCTTAGGTTATATTATGGACGTACAATTTTGCAAGAGTCAAAGTATGCGGCTGCTTGTCCATATTTTTATACTTGGTCTTGCATTATGGGTAACATTTGGAGTAAAGTTAAGTAAAGTAACAGCTTATTTACATGTCCCACTGCTGGGCAAATCCTCCTCGATGTAGATGATATTAGGGCACAGTCCACCACGTGGCCCCACTGCGTATTGGCGGACTTCACATATCTTCGAAATATTTTTTTCGTTACTATTTCGAAAATATGCAGGTTTCCTCACGATGTTTCCCTTCATCGCTCAGCGCGTGATGATGCAGCACCCAAAATTAACAATTTCATTAGTGCCGGCTACATAGGTGCTACATACACTGACAGCTATGACATCACTTTGAGTCGCATTGTACATGTTCCGATAAACACATAACTCCCCTTGTGTCGCAAATTCAGGTAAAAAACCGGCCAAGTGCGAGTTGGACTCGCACACGAAGGGTTCTTTATCTATAAAAACGGCAAAGAACATGTCTGTTGTATGGGAGCCCCGTTTAAATATTTTGTATATTGTTTTTTAGTATTTAGTGTTATAGCGACAACAGAAATACATCTGTGAAAATTTCAACTGTCTAGCTATCACGGTTCATGAGATACAGCCTCTTGACAGACGGACAGACAGGCAAACAGCGGAGTCTTAGTAATAGGGTCCCGTCTTACCCTTTGGGTACGGAACCCTAAAAATTACGAAGGAATGGGAAATCGACGGATCCGCACTAGGGTCGCTAGGTGGACTAACCTAATATTCCTTTAAAATTTGAAATGTTGTAGATAAATGTTGTGGCTGCCACTCGAGAACCTTTCTTTTCGTATAGGTTATCGGTTCTACGAGCTTCTAGTATATGGCCGGCCCAGTGCCAATCATTTTTACTAATTACCGAATATTTACAAAAACTGACAATACTCTACATAGGAAGAGCCCAAAGTTATACCTTGTCGCAGAGAAGAGCCGTGATAGCTCATTATAGCTCTCTGAGTTCGGGCGTTCGCTTTTAATTCCATATACTCGAGCAACCTAAGCTCGATCCTCGATGCCGGCACCAATGACTTTGTCAATTTTAAGTGCTGAATTATCACGTGCTCAGCGGTGAAGGAAAACATCGTGAGGAAACCGGCATATTTTCGAAATAATAACAAAAATAAAATATTGCGAAGATGTGAAGTCCGCCAATCATCTATAGGCCGTTACTTTACTACTTTACCTTGTCGTATATATTATTCCAAAAGTTGAGAGTTTTTAATGATAAATCCTACGCGGGAAACCCGTGAAATAGTTTTATATAACAATTATAAGTATTGACGTAAATACAAGATATCGCTTTAAATGTTTGGTTGAAAATTGAAATCGTCTACATATGACGAAGAGTTTGGAAATTCCTACTTTCGTCACTCAGTAGCTTTATTAAGTTATATCGCTTTAAATAAACGTCAGTTGTATTATTTATTATTCCAGAAGATTTATAAATTTATTTCTCTTGTGAGGTTATCTAAAACCACGACCTCGACATCTGTTATTTTCTGGCGAAGTCGCAGTGTATAATCAAAAAATAGCAAATAAGAATTTGCTATTTTTTAATTAGCATTAATTTATTTTTTAATTCATTTATTTTTAGAAAGACGATAGGGATATAGCTAAATATCTCTATGTTACAGGCAAAAATTGCACTTGGTATTATAGTCCATATTAATAATAGGACCCATTAAGTATTCATTATTCTTACTATAAAAATGAATAAAGCGTATATATTAATATTTAAACTTTTTATTATATTTCACAAATAATGCATATATTGCCAAAGTATAGGAATATGTTATAGTTAATAATTTTATATCAAATCAAATAAATATACTAAACAAATAAACTGATTACACATTCTTTATCACGGGACAGGCGGTAAATACGTCGGGACGTCATGAATAGAAATAAAAAAATAAACGCGATAATTCCGTGCAAATTTCACTTAATATTTACCACCGAAACTCTACCCTACTCCACTACGATACAATCGTGATACACAAAGGTAGACTCTTTAATAGCTTACATACTTACTTGGCTGGCTCAGCGACCCAAAGAGGATCTTGGCCTCCGACACGAAAAGACGCCACTGCTCTCTATTCTGGGCTGTTTCTTGCCAATTGGCTGATTGGAGAGCTCTCAGATCTTTATGGACTCTTTCCACGTCTTTCCAGCGATATCTGCGACCAGCAGGACGCTTCCCTTTTGGTTGCCCCATATATGCTCTCTTGACTGCACGATCCTCCCCCATCCCCTCCAAGTGGCCGAGCCAACGCAGTCTCGCGGCTTTCGCTTCGCCGATAATGTTGGGTTCGGACACAAGGTGTTCAATTTCCCTATTTTTCCGAATTCTCCAATTCCCATCCTCGTCTTTCACTGGTCCCAGAATTTTCCACAAGATCTTGCGCTCCGCCACTAAGAGCTGATGCTCGTCCTAATAGCTTAATTCGTTTAATAGCTGCCCGGTCAAGTTTGCTTAGTAAAACGTACATCATAGATGTTAAATAAGAAGTATTTTATGAACTCTTTAACCATTCTAGCCTGTTAGACTCCACTGCTGAACATAGGCCTCCTCAACATACTGGCACGAAGTACGATCCTGAGCCATTTGCATCCATCGATTAGATCGTTGTCTTGCGACAAACAATCTGTTATATTAATTTCTGTGTTTTAATTTTCACACGTGTCATTTCATATTGATTCAATTAGGGAAAACCAATTTGTTCCGCCGACTTTCCTGCTCTGTGGCGAGCAAAACTTGATTCGCAATGCTACTCCTCGTGAGTCGCGGACTCGTTGTGTCAGTGAAGCTCAAGACACAGACAGCGCCTAACCTCGACTTTGGTTATCAAATTTGTTACCGGTTAAAAAATATGAGGTGAGTAGACAATACAGTTAAAGCTAACGTTGTGTTATGATTTACTTCTTTTGTGGGGTCAATAAGAGCGCTAATACTCGCGACAATTCGTGTTTGCATTAAATCGTGTTTTTTCCTGTTACGTGCTTATATTTATTAAACCCGATTGCGTTTCCACCAAAAACTTAAGGTAGCTCGCTTAGATCTTAGTTCCTAAGAAAAAAAAACACAATCGGCGCAAGTTCACAGTCCTATTGACTTAGAAACAACCCAAATAGAATATTTGTACGTCGTAAAGTTTTGATTGATTTTTACAGTGATTCTGACTGCAGAAAGAATTTGTCTTGTTTTATTAAGGAATTTATTTCGCACAAAAACGCTATGTTAATTTTTATCATATCTCTAACTCAATATCGAAAGTTACATTATATACATGCGTTTTTGTTTGAAAATATTAATACTAACTTTTAAATGTAACTAGGCAAAGTATTCTAAAACTCCCTCCCTCAAGTAGTATTGTTTATTTACCAAACTGTGTTAGTGTTAGTTTTGATTTTTATTTATTTTGCAGTCAAATTGATTTTTTTTTTTTATGTAACATAGTCAAAGTCTAACCCACAACTCACTGAACAGTTCGCGTTTCTTACGATTATTAAAAATCCGTAAAACAGTTTTAATTAACCACATAAAGTATTCGCTTAAACACAAAAATATCAAAAGGTAACAAATGTTTGAATTCTAGTGACGAACCCGATTGGCATAGTAAATAGTATCTTGCACCAGAGGATGTGTGCTCGCTTCCCACCACTATTGTGCGATGAAAATAGTGTTGTTCCAATGTCTGGGTGTTTTCATATCAATGATGTGTATTTATTTTAAAGATTATTATTTTTAAATTGTAATTTTTTTGTAGATAAATGAACAAAAACTTTCAGCACTGCGGGTTCCGAACCTGAGAACGTGCCTATGTTGATCCCTTGGCTTGGTGGCTATAGCTATAGCGACTGTTTTATATAAACTTCGTTTAACGTCTTCTTGTAATCCGAATTGGATGATTAGAGTTTAGCATTCACTGTATAGTATAAAACAAAGTCGTCCCGCTGTCAGTCTGTCCCTATGTATGCTTAGATCTTTAAAACTACGCAACGGATCTCGATGCGTTTTTTTTACTACATATAGTGATTCCAGAGGACGGTTTATACGTATAAAACATTGCACCCATGAGAAGCACCCGGAGCGGGTCGCTAGTAGTACATACTTAAAGGTTGAAACGCTTCTCATCATGTCAGCTTTTTTGTGTCCACTGCTGAACATAGGCCTCCCCCACAGACTGTTACGAAGTACGATACTGAGCCACCTGCATCCATCGACTTCCTGCACACTTGCATAGGTCGTCACTATCTAGTTGGAGGTCGTCCTATACTGCGATGGTATGCCAATTGAGAACCTTTCTTCCCCAACCGTTATCGGTTCTACGAGCTATATGGCCTGTTATCACTTAACATCAGGTGAACCGCCAGCTCGTTTGCCACTTTCTTACATAAAAAAACAGTATTCTCTGTTACACGAATGGGCAGGTCCGTCGGGGTTATTATCGCGTCCTCATAGAGGACCGGCGAGAAGTAGAAGTGTAACACTTCTGCGTTTCGTCTGGTGAGTGAGGGGCTTAAAAGTTAAAGGTGACAACGAATCTGCAACCCTGCGGTTGAACATAGACCTCCCTCCCTCACACACCGCCACAACGCACGACCCCAGCCCAAAAAAATATTCCGAAGATATGTGAAGTCTAAGTACAAAACGCATGGGGTGGTGGTGGACTATGCCCTGATACTCTCTATGCAGAGGACCCTTTTCCCAGCAGTGGAACGTTTATAAGCTGTTACTTAAATTTTTCTTTGCAACAGCGTCCGCTACATATTTGGGCCTCACAGACAATTCTTCCGTGTTTTGGCTTTCAAAAGCCCAAAACCGCCGCTGCACAGAACCGTTTGCCACTTTCTCACACAATATCTCACATCAGTTCCTGCCAGTTTCATACGCAAAGAGTACGTTCATACATACTTGATGATCACCACCGTGGGCTCGATTCGACCGAGACAACTATTCTTGTGACCCACAGAAAATTTTTTCGGATGTGGCTATTTTTCCACGTGAAATTTATACACAGCGTGTCGTTACAACCGCGACAATAAATGACGTATAAAACTGTAACGTAAAGTTCATTTGTAAAGGTCGCAAAGCATATGAATGGGTTGAATGAATTTAAAAGAGACAAAACATACTGTTAGAAGGAGAGGCTTGTAATGCGACACTGTGGCAATGAATTAAAAAGTCTCTGAATGTATGAATCAGTCTGTTGTAGTTGTATAGGTGTTACAAATTTTGTCTCTTTTTTACCTAATTAGTTTGTTTCAAAAATATTTTTTTTTAATTATGGATTTTTTTAACGTTAATATTTTTTATGATTATTGGCAAGTAGCGTTAGACGTGTGTTCATTTATTGTCGCTGTTGTAACGACAAGCTGTATATGAAACGTCATCACAACATAGGATATTGCTATCATACAGTAAGGGAGCAACGCTTTCAAAGGGAAGACTACACTGGATCTTCTAGGTCGCAGTAGCCGTTAGGACGTACTACCCAACCCCTTCCACGCATAGTACAATACTAGTAGTCATCTTTCTCATCTTTTTAAAAAAAACTTTGCCCTCACTTTAGGATAACATTATCTTGTGTTGTTAGGACGTTTTACACACATAAATTGCACGACGAGAAACACCCAGATGCGAAATGACTATCTGTGGGTCGCACAAATAGTTGTCCCGTGTGGGAATCGAACCCACGACCCCCGACGCCAATACCTTGGCAACTGCGCCACGGAATCATCAAAGTGCGATCGCAGTATAGTTGTACCCGTTTAGATCCAAAACCAAACTAGGACATAAACATAACTTAGGACTTGTTACTGCAGGTGCCTAGCCGTTTTCCTGGCGGCGGTTCTGCTCCCCGATGCGGTCCTCCTCCAAGAGCTGGACCCGAACACCGCCGAGTGGTTGGCAACCATAACTAACCTTTCCAATGGCGAAGAACCGAAGGCAACGAATAATGGTAACGTCCTTTTCGTATGACTGAGGATCTCTTATCATCCGCCGCCCGATCGTGACAGTTTACAGGGCCGGATTTAGGGGAGGGCAACCTCCACAAACGAGGAACCCCCACAATAGAGATTTCGGAAAAAAAAAATTCGCGTTTTACTTTAACAATACAATTCTTTGTGCAAACTTGATTACATTAAATATTAACAGAAATCAATAGAAAATAATTTGGGGCCAGGGGCCTCCACTTCTTTGTTGCCGCGAGGCTTCCAGACCTCTAAATCTGGCCCTGACAGTTTAGATAAGATAAGATAATCATTTATTGTCTTAACTGTGCACAATAGGTGTAACGTGTTACATAATTGTTTATGTCAACAGTTTGCCCAGTCGTTCACACTGTCATCTAGAGAACTAAAATAAACTTCATAAAATAGCATTACTTAAATGTTAGTTAAATAAACTAATTGTCGAAAAAAACCTGTTTTCTTATTTTTTAGCGCATAAAAGAAATAGTACGCGTCTAGATGTTGACGTTTTGGTGCGTGAATATGGCATACATTAGTAGTTGGTATGTCCGGGCCAGCTACCCAGAGGATTATGTTTGGAATCTTTTCAGCTTCGAGAATCAGCCAAAAGAACAAAGCTTTCTTATTAAGCCCACATTTAAGTTTCATCTTGAGTGCACGCTAGCACTAAAATAAAATAAAATAATTAGAATTAGACCGTGTGCAACATTTAGGCTTTCCTCCTCATTGCAGGGGTAGACGAAGACACAAAAGAATTTTTATCAGGCATCGGAAACGAACTTTTGGAGAAAGAGGTGAAGAAAACAGGTCAGTATTGTTACCGTTAGAATAGACATTAGTCTGCCTGTATCTTCAAACAATACAACACAAAGGGCCACTTAGAAAAGACTCCCTGTATATATATATATATTTCTTACCTTACTTGGCTGGACACTAAACATGCATCTTTCTAAAAATAAAATATGATAACTTTTTTTTAAATGGAGGGATGTCTTTGGGGGCTGCCGATAGAAGTGAAAACTGAGTAAGTTAACAATAATTACTAAATTATCATTTTAAAATTAAATAATTGTTATGTTAAAATAATAAAATTAAGAATTAAATAAAGATTCGCACAAAAGGAAAATATGAATAGCCTTAACTGTGTATTAGTAGATATACTAATTAGATATAAAATTTAAAAAATATGAATTAAATAAAACTACAAAAATAGTTTTCTAGCCCATACCTCTGAAAATAATTCCGTTTTAGGTTCATCAGTTTAGCAAGTCGTATATCGCAAAAACAGCGATTCTCACGTTTATAATTCATTTAATAAGTACTGACGTGCGATTTGTTTAAAGCATCTCAAAATGGAACCGGTCCAATAATCTACAGGTAGGCTTTTCTAAACGTATCCATTTTTTTTATTAAATTCTAGACATAAATAATGCTATATAAAAATGATAAATATTTAAAATCACTCGTAATTAATTAAATACATTCATTTGGACTTATCTCAAAAAGTGCGTGATTTATGGGGAACTCATTTATTTTACGCGCGATCATTCATAACTAACACGCACACAAGTTCGTTTCAAAAGTATACGACGCATTTATGAATGACTACCGCATTGTCCAAAAGTTTTGTTTTTAGGGAGTAAAATGGCAACTGTTTTGAAAAAAAAAATATTGTTTTTATTTCAATAAACGATTATACTACCGAGTCTGAACGTCCTGTGTGAATTTCTTGGGCACCTTTAGAAAAGCCATCCTGTATAGTTAGTGCCAGTGGTACACATAAATCATTTCGAATCGACAGCGACACCTGAACTCAACCGGGAAACGTTGGATTGGCTGAACCGTGTCGTGCAGGGCTGGAACACCACGACCACGACCACGACCACGACCACGACCACGACCACCACCACAAGCACCACCACCGAGTCTGCGAGCTCCCCTCAGAACAGATTCGCCACGGACGACCCCAATCTCGATCCGGACTTCTCAGGTAAAGTAAAGTAAAGTAACAGCCTATACATGACACACTGCTGGGCAAAGGCCTCCTCTATACAGAGGGTATCAGGGTACTTTTTTTTTTCAATCGGCACTTCACCGTGGCAAGTTCAAATACGATTATTTTGGCTGTCTTATTACTCGAATTTTTACTTCCATTGCAGACACCAAAACATGCACCACGGAGGACGGCTTGCCGGGCCGCTGCGTCAGCTACCACCAGTGCGACTCGCAAGGGATTATAGACAACACGACGCTTATCGACCTCAGGTAAGAGAAACAATTCCCGATCGATGTACGCAATGCACACCGCTTACGCGCGGTTTCTGAAACACTGATCATTGTAGATGTAAACTAATCAGCTGTCTAATGTCTATTCAAATGTCGTTTGAGTTGCCAAAAGGATATGGTTAAACTATTTTAATATACTATTCTAAGCATTAAGAAGATCGTTCTGATCAATTCAGAGAGTTTAACCATCATTTTAGCAAGTTGAATAACATTTGAAAAGACATATGACAGCTGTTAACTTCTACGATGATCAGTGTTTCATAAACCGGGCGTTAGTCTCCCTGTAGTGAGACGATTCCCACCGATACTAATATTACTACAGATAAAAACCCATTTCGGAAATCTGAAAACCTCATTTTGTAACTAAACCTTTTTCTTTAAAATGTCGGAATTTACTTGAAGTACAGATGTTTTTACAGAGTCAAGCTTATCAAGTTTTAATTTCCCGACTATTCCATCATCAGTTCTAATTATACGGGAGCACATCGCTCACCATCTTAACCAAAAAAGTATAATCGGACAAGATGGTAAAAAATTATCAATGAGCACACATAAAATAAAATATTCCGTAGCATTAATAACTTATTGTTGCCTTTTCTTACAATGATGTTATGTATAAATACGAGACAGATATGAAACTAGCGCACCAAAATTGAAGCACTCCAAGTACGTCAATTGCTGTAATTAGATTGCAATTCTACAGACTGCTATCACTTTCCGTATCACACCTTCTATATCATCTGTCGTATTCACTTATATGATATGTATAAAAACCGCTCAGTATGGCACGCGGCATTCATATTATTAAAGCATCATTGTTTTCTTGAAGAGCCGCGAAGGCTCAGTGTCCGGGCGCTCGCCTTTAATTCAATATACTCGAGCAACCTGAGTTCGCGGTTCCGGCACCAATGAAATTATTTATTTTAAGTGCTGCATTATCGCGTGCTCAGCGGTGAAGGAAAACATCGTGAGGAAACCTGCATATTTTCGAAATAAGTGAAGTCCGCCTATCGGCGGCGGGGCCGCGTGGTGGACTATGCCCTGATACCCTCTGTACAGAGAAGGCCTTTGCCCAGCAGTGGCACATGTATAGATACTTTACTTTACTTTTTTTCTTGACGAATGTTAATCAATGTTATCCAAAAAGAAACGTCACAAACACGGGAAGCTCACTGTCCGTACAATCACCAGGGACGGCAGCTGCCCCCACTACCTGCAGAAGTGTTGCCTCTCGTCGGAGTTCATCAGGAGCTCCACCAAGGCCCCACCTGCGGCCGCAACCGGCAAGTGCGGCTGGAGCAACCCTGGCGCCAGCATCTTCCGCGTCAAGGACAGCGACAACATCAACAGGAGGACCTACGCCGACTTCGGGGAGTACCCGTGGATGGTCGCCTTGATCATGTAATTATAACATAACACAACGAACACCTTTAATCACACAGCCCACCACCGTATAGTATGCAACATAACTGCAGCCCCGTGGATGTTTAGACTTCTACAGCCGGTTTCAATATCAAATCTAGAGATTTGATTACTAGAGATTGGTATTTGACGTCCTTTTACTTTATACTTTTGCAAACCACTAACATAATACTTTTATACATAGACTAGTAAGTGTCCAAATTTTCGGTGCGTCATCATAATTCTACAAAATTTCATGTTCAAACTTGCGTTACTGATTTAGACGAAACACAGTCAGAAACTGGACCATCGAGGAGATGGACGACGTTTCTTGATGATCAAGTTTTTGATTAAGAAGGCCATAAATAAAACAGGAAAGGCGGGGATCCGGACACGTGGTCGCAGAGGCAATATCTGGGCGGAGGCACCATAATCCATCCTTCAGTTGTGATCACGGCCGCTCACAAAGTGAACCGATACACAGCACAACAGGTGATCATCTTTATAATGCCAACTACTTCTCTACTGCAATAATATAATCTGCGTTTCGTCTGGTGCCTGAGGTAGCCGGGCCCAATTTATTAAAAGGTCTATCGCATCTGCAACCCTACGGGTGTTGCAAATGTCCATGGGCGGCGATTATCACTTAACATCCGGTGAACAGACACATAAAAAAAAATCATTTGTTTCAAATTTTTCATTACAATTATGTGCTGTTGTGTCCATACTCATTAATTCGGACATTTAGGCAGTCAATTGGCCCGCGACATAGCTCGTAAAAACAACCGTGGGAAAATAAAGGTTATCGAGCTTTGTACAAACAGATACATTATGGCCACCCGCCACGATGGAGTGGCGATAATGAAGTTGAGTCACCGTAGGGTAGAAAATGCGTTGCCACCTATATATAAAGTGGGCCCCGGCTACACCACTCACCAGATGAAACGCAGAAGCCTTTACGCCGGTCTTCAGCGAGGTCGTTGATAATTCTAAGCTGTGTGTGTGTGTGTGTGTGTGTGTGTGTGTGTTTATTATTACTATTTTATCTGATCATAAATTGATGCCCGTGTCATTTGTGCCTCGCGTATGGCGACAATGTATCTAATAGCAAATTGTTCATTTTACACAGATTTTTTCTCAAATTGACCGACTTGCACTAGAGTGAGTAATTGATTCGCTTCACTGTTTTTGGTCATCAGGTGAAATGCCGTGCAGGGGAATGGGATACTCAGACAACCCTAGAGCTCTATCCACACCAGGAGAGGGACGTCAAGAAAATTATCACACACGAGGAGTTCTATTTGAGTAAGAAGTATAATAGTGGCTGTTCGAAACCAATCTGTGGTTTTTGCGACGGAACGTCCGGGCGCGTCCCTAGCGCTCGCGTTAGCCCCAATCTACACCCCAACGGGTTGTCATCTAGCCCAAAGAGTACTTTTGTATATCTGATGTAGCCGCTATACGCGTTGACGTGACAGACTTTGCCTGACTGGCTGAGCCCTAGGCCCAGCGAGAGGCTGGATTCGGAGTGAACAGTCGCAGTCTTTTGGGTAGGCCTATGTTCAGCTGTGGACTCGAACAGGCTGAAACGATGATTGTGATGAAGACTCATAGCCATATTATAACACTGCGAACGAAGAGCACGGCTTATCTTAAACTAAGCTTTGCAAAGCCTTTTATACATACACTGCAGTGTCAAAAATTGGTAACCCTTTGTCAAGTTTGCAGTTGAAAAAGCTCGGTCATCCAGCAACTAGCCTTTATATACTTGATGACTCCGTGGCATAGTTGCCAAGGTATTGGCTTCGGCGTCGGGGGTCGTGGGCTCGATTCCCACACGGGACAACTATTTGTGTGACCCACAGATAATTGTTTCGCATCTGGGTGTTTGTCCGCGTGAAATTTATGTTTGTAAAATTCCCTTACAACACAGGATACTGTTATCCTAAAGTAAGGGCAAAAAAGAAAAAAAAACTAATTTTTTCGGTCTGTTTGTAGGTAGAATTAATTAATTGATAATTTTATTAATATTATAATGATTACCTAATTATTAATATATAGATTGCATATTAATAGATATATATATATACAGAGAGCCGTGATAGCTCAGTGTCCGGGCGGTTATCTTTAATTTAATATACTCGAGGTTCGATCCTCGGTGGCGGCACCAATGAAATTGTAAATTTGAAGTGCTAACTTATCACTTGCTCCGCACTGAAGGAAAACACCACAGGTAACAGAGGAAACCTGCATATTTTCGAAATAATAAAAAAAAAATCGGATTTCGAAGATACGTGTAGTCCACCAATCCACAGAGGGGCCGCGCCTTTGCCCAGCCGTGCGATATGTATAGGCTACAACTTTACTTCTTTACACATATTGCCATTGATAATTGACAACATTGGTTGTCAACGCATTTGCAACCCTCGGGTGTAGCAGATGCCCATGCCGATGTCCGGCGGTGTTCACTTAAAACATAAAATAAAAAAATTCCAGCTCCCGCTTACAACGACATCTCCATGCTCGTGTTGGAAAAGCCGTACGAACTAATGGACGCTCCGCACATTGGTATCGCGTGCCTCAGCTCGGCTCTGCCTGTGGTGGGCACCAAATGCTACAGCATGGGCTGGGGCAGGGAGTTCCAGGAGAAAGACAAAAACGCCGTCATCCTGAAGAAGGTCGGTGGAGACTGTTTTTTTTTTGTGACAGAGCGGCCACCCAGCCGGCGGTTCACCTGCAACGTATGCAACAGAAGCTTCGCTTCGCATATCCGTTGCCACCTTTAATTAAATTGGGCACCGGCTACCTCACACAGCAGACGAAACGCAAGTGTAACACTACATCACGCCGGTCTTCTGTGAGGTCGTGGTACTTACCCGGACGAGTCTGCCCATTCGTGCAACAGCGAGCACTGTTGCGTGGCACTATGAAAGTTAATGAACAACCCACCTACCAATGTACAGAAAACTGGAGAGGACACAAGCAAACGCGACTCGTGTCTACAACCTTGACATTCACTTGAGATTCACCAATGACAAACGATCCCTCTTAATTTACCCGCCACCCATAAAATATATCTTAACCTACTACCTTACATTATAGTTCTTTTTAGTTATACTTCATATTTCTTGTTCTTTAATTATACGTTCAGAATATGGTACTGTCCTAACCAGGCTAATAAGTCTTAATAAGAGCCCGCGCGACTCTGTTTCAAGACCGGCGTGAGAATAATCCGCCATATTGATTTCTTATAATTTTAATATACCTGTGACACTCTCACAATAGAGAGAGGGATCTAATCTTATCTATCTATATATATATATATAAATTAATTGCTGTTCGTTAGTCTCGCTAAAACTAGAGAACGGCTGGACCGATTTGGCTAATTTTGGTTTTGAAATGTTTGTGGCAGTCCAGGGAATGTTTGAAGGATGAGAAATTATGGAATAATTGCCTATACAAACTGTTCCTATCTGTCAAATATTTTATACGGTCGTTCCCAAAATTCTTTTTTACTGATAATTGTGGTCCACCCTAAACATTTTTTTCTGCCTTACAAATTCTCTAGAAATAATTTATATGGAAAAACAACGTTTGCCGGGTCAACTAGTCATCACTAAAAAACAATTTAGTAGTCTTGGGGACCACGAAGTTTAACTTCGTACACAAATAATGATCCCCTTTGGCTTGATTCAGGTGGAGCTGCCGTACGTCGACGCCAATACTTGCCAAGCCGCATTGAAGAAGTCTAGACTGGGCAGCAGGTATGTTGGTTTATGTGTTACTGATTGAAACACAATTCTTAAGCACCAGTAGGAAACATACATTCTCTTTTATAATTATGTTACATAGAAAGGGAAAATCATAGACAGCGGCCATAGACAGTGTTGCCACCTAATATCAAATATTTATGTTATCTTTTGGGCTCCGTATCTCAAAAGTTAAAAAAGGAACCCTTATAAAGCTTCTCTCTCTATCAACTTTACATTTTTTGGAATTTTACTTGTGCTGTAACACACTGCTATTGACAATTCTAGGTCAACCGGACGTACCTTATAGGTTTTGGATCGAAAGCCTATATCGCAATAATTTCTTGTATTTACGCGATTACACATTATAAATGAAACTAATTTTACGGATTTATCGCGTTTATTTTTAATTTAAGTTCCCGACGTTTCGAACCCTTTACAGCGTTCATGGTCACGGGACAGACTGAGGTGTTAGACGTCTGATTGTCATAGTTATCCCGGGCTACCGTCAGTTTTTTGTATTATTGATTTTGTGTCCGATCTATGCAGAGGGAGCTAATTGTATCTTGTCTTGCAGTAGTGGTTCTTTTGGGCTTAGATTTAATTTTATTGATGATAGGATCCCAAGCTGATGGTAGTACCCAACCCTCTTCTCTATTGAAATTAGGGTGTTTTTTAATTTCAATAGCCTCGCGAATCTTCCTTGGGAGGAATCGGTGTTCTTTTGCAAGGATCTGTGGTCTATCAAACCTGATGTAGTGGTTGGGCCGATTTAGAGTGTGCTCACAAACTGCAGACTTGTTTAATCCACTATGTTTTATGTCAGCTACATGTTCTTTCACGCGGGTTTTTATAGCTCTTTTGGTTTGTCCTATGTAAGAGAGCCCACATTCACAGTCAAGTTTGTACACTCCTGGATCTTGCAGAGGGATATTACACTTGACAGATGGTAAAAACTGACTAATCTTCTTCAGCGGCTTGTAGAATGTATTAATTGAAGCCCGCTTTAAGATATAGCCAATCTTGTCGGTGACTCCTCTGACATATGGTAGAACAGCAGGTACTCGCTCCACTGTGGCTGGTTTCACTCGGTCACTGTGACGTAGGCGCGGTGCTCGAAGTTTGTTGTCATGCAGAACTTGCTTGACATGTTGAAGCTCAGCGGCCAGGTGTTGTTTGTCACAGATCCCTTGTGCTCTCTGAAACAAAGATTTACCCACGGTAGCTAACTGGGATGGATGGTGGTGAGTCACCGTTTAGGTATCAATTTGTATGGGTTGCCTTCCTATACACAGTGTGACTTATAGTGTTATTTGGATTGCGGATGACCAAAACATCTAAGAAAGCTAAAGAGTTATTATTCTCTAATTCCATAGTGAATTGTATTTAGGAATTTACTGAGTTAAGGTGATTTAAAAATGCATTAACTTTACTTGTTGGTAAAATGGTGAAGGTGTCATCTACATACCTCTTATAAAACCTTGGATAAATGGGAGCTGTGCGAAGGGCCTTCTCCTCAAAGTCTTCCATAAATATGTCAGCGACAATGGGAGATATTGGGCAGCCCATTGCTACACCATCTATCTGTATGTAAAATTCCTCCTTCCAAAGCAAATAGCCGGATGTTAGGCAATATTTAAGTAGTAATGCATACTCTTCCGGCATGTTATTCTCTTTTAGCTTCCTTGTTACAATTGAGATGCAGTCTTCTAATGGTAAGCATGTAAATAAAGACTGTACATCAAAACTGACCATTGTTTCATTGTCAGAAAGACATAGTTGTTTTATCTCACTAACAAAATGGTACGAATCCTTTGTGTATGCCCGTGTGTGTCCTCTCAGCGGTGAGAGAATTTGTACTAGATGTTGAGCCAGTCTGTAAGTTGGTGAGTCGATCTGGCTTACAATAGGGCGTAATGGCAAGTCTGGTTTGTGTATTTTAGGCAACCCATACAATTTAGGGGGTTTTGCACATGAAGGTGTCATCGATTTCACGTCTAGATTTAATTTTTCGGAGTATTTTTTAATGAGATCGCTAGTTAATTTAAGCGTTTTAGTGGTTGGGTCTGTTTTGACCTTTTTATACGTGCTTACATCAGACAACAGTTCTTGTATTTTCAAATTATAATCCGACGTTTTCATAACAACCGTAGCATTTCCTTTATCTGCGCGGAGAACAGTTAAATCTTTGTTGTTGCGTAAGCTGTTTAACGCGTTAAATTCATCTTTGGGGAGGTTAGACTTCGGTACCGAACTTCGACGTAATAAAGACGAAATATCTTGTCGTATACCTTCTAAATCTTCCTTACCGATATTATTTTTGGTAAAGGTAAATAACTTTAACTCCGGCGTAATTCAAATCAAATAAATTTTAAACGATAGAGATAAATCTCTAATGAATTAATCAACAAGCAGAATTCGGCGGTCGCTTATAGTTTTCGAGAAAAAAAATATTTAAAACTTGTTTTTTGTACTAAGAAATCCACCATTTTATTTGTTTGACTTCAAAAACTCAATACACAGTTCTGCCAACATGATAAATATAGGAAGCGGGCGACATCATACACGTATCGATATTCCGATTTTTTTTTAATTTAATGAGTCACAGAACCGACACAGAGCGAATCCGACTCGGATAGATTAGGTTAGAAGGTTCAGGCGGGAGCGGAGCTCCCGCCTTAACCTTCGATGTTAGGTTTTTTTTTATGACCACCAAGAAATACGAGCTGAATTGAGATATTGACACCAAAAAAAACTTTTTTAAAATACTCACATTTTTATATCATCGGCGGGTAGAGGACACTCACACTTCCAGAAATGGTGCAAACGTTCTCCAGGTTCGGGGAAAATTTTACGAAATCGTGCCTCAACCAGATAACCAATGAAGTCCAACCAATTTAAAACATTTAACAGCATTTACAAGAACTCCATGACGACACAAAAAATTAAAAAGGACTAAACGATCTGATTCTGATTTGAATAAAATTTTATAAAAAGAATAAAAACTTAAATTACAATATGTACATAAAATATCACTACTACTAGTAGACGCACAAATATTATCCGTCATTGCAAATACGAATAACCACTATTCTATTGTTTTTAAATAATGAGCGGGAAATACTTCCGGTTTAAATTTAACATACGATTAGGCACCGAAAAAATTATATACAGCCAATATACTAATATCGATTTTGAAACTCGATTACAAATTTTATAAAATCTTTTTTTAAAAGCCCTTAACTTATTAAAAAACTAAATATCAATGTATTATAAACTAAATATAATAATGAAATTACATTTTTTATATTTATTATTTTTATTTATTTTCATTACAAAGCTTTTAAAATCTTCATCTTTAACTTATTTGTTGTTTTATGTAAAAAATAATAAATATTCAAAATTAATTACTTCTTTATAAAGTTTGACTCTTCCGCGTGCTTCGCCAGAACACTCGCTATGTCGCCCCTGAGTGTCGCTTCACCCTCCGACGCGAGGTTCTGGCTCCGCCTTATTATGTTCACTCTAGGGGTAGGGACCACAAGACCACATGGAGTCGGGGTGCTCTGTGTCGGATCTGGGACTCATTTTGAACCTTATCTAATCGGAAAAGGGTCCGTGATAAATTAAAAAGATGCAACCATAAACCTAACCAATTAGTAAATAAATGTTAAACCTAATTTAGCTTTTTTCACAGTAATTTAAATTGTAAAAAAATGTAATCGATTTAGAATCGATATACAATTTAAAAAAATGTCCATAATATTTCAATATGAATAACGTTGGTTTATTTGGTATTGACGCCTAATATTTAAGAGTTTTCTTGGATTATAACCCACACACACACCGCACGCACGCACGCACGCACGCACGCACGCACGCACGCACGCACGCACGCACACGCACACACGCACGCACACTCACACACACACACACACACACACACACACACACACACACACACACACACACACACACACACACACACACACACACACACACACACACACACACACACACACACACACACACACACACACACACACACACACACACACACACACACACACACACACACACACACACACACACACACACACACACACACACACACACACACACACACACACACACACACACACACACTCGATCGTTAAAGTTATTTACATTTACCTTATTTTTATATAGACAATCCTCGACACTACAGATTATTTCTTCGTACGGGATTTTTCGCGGCGTTATTGCGAAATTTAAACCTTTTGATAACACCTTCATAGTAGATTCATCCAGTGTTTGTTGTGACAGATTAAAAAGACCGCGCGATGTCTATTATCTGTGTCTGTGGTCAACGGTTGCGTTTCGTTCATGCGTTGCGACGATCGTTTGGCATTTGATTTGTTGACTAATTTATGATATTTTTCAATAAGTTTATTTTTGCTATTTGCTTTGGAAGGAGGAATTTTACATACAGATAGATGGTGTAGCAATGGGCTGCCCAGTATCTCCCATTGTCGCTGACATATTTATGGAAGACTTTGAGGAGAAGGCCCTTCGCACAGCTCCCATTTATCCAAGGTTTTATAAGAGGTATGTAGATGACACCTTCACCATTTTACCAACAAGTAAAGTTAATGCATTTTTAAATCACCTTAACTCAGTAAATTCCAAAATACAATTCACTATGGAATTAGAGAATAATAACTCTTTAGCTTTCTTAGATGTTTTGGTCATCCGCAATCCAAATAACACTATAAGTCACACTGTGTATAGGAAGGCAACCCATACAAATAGATACCTAAACGGTGACTCACCACCATCCATCCCAGTTAGCTACCGTGGGTAAATCTTTGTTTCAGAGAGCACAAGGGATCTGTGACAAACAACACCTGGCCGCTGAGCTTCAACATGTCAAGCAAGTTCTGCATGACAACAAACTTCGAGCACCGCGCCTACGTCACAGTGACCGAGTGAAACCAGCCACAGTGGAGCGAGTACCTGCTGTTCTACCATATGTCAGAGGAGTCACCGACAAGATTGGCTATATCTTAAAGCGGGCTTCAATTAATACATTCTACAAGCCGCTGAAGAAGATTAGTCAGTTTTTACCATATGTCAAGTGTAATATCCCTCTGCAAGATCCAGGAGTGTACAAACTTGACTGTGAATGTGGGCTCTCTTACATAGGACAAACCAAAAGAGCTATAAAAACCCGCGTGAAAGAACATATAGCTGACATAAAACATAGTAGATTAAACAAGTCTGCAGTTTGTGAGCACACTCTAAATCGGCCCAACCACTACATCAGGTTTGATAGACCACAGATCCTTGCAAAAGAATACCGATTCCTCCCAAGGATGATTCGCGAGGCTATTGAAATTAAAAAACACCCTAATTTCAATAGAGAAGAGGGTTGGGTACTACCATCAGCTTGGGATCCTACCATCAATAAAATTAAATCTAAGCCCAAAAAAACCACTACTGCAAGACAAGATACAATTAACTCCCTCTGCATAGATCGGACACAAAATCAATAATACAAAAACTGACGGTAGCCCGGGATAACTTTGACAATCAGACGTCTAACACCTCAGTCTGTCCCGTGACCATGAACGCTGTAAAGGGTTCGAAACGTCGGGAACTTAAATTAAAAATAAACGCGATAAATCCGTAAAATTAGTTTCATTTATAGCCTATATCGTAGTGTCCGTTAACCTTGAATCAAGAAATTTGGCAGAAAGCGAGGTCTTACAGCACAAATAAAGGAAAAAATGTAAATACCAAAAAATTATACCAATTTTATTATGGCGGTATAATGGGTACGGAACCGTCGGCGCACGAGTTCGACTTGCAATTGACCGGTTTTTTTTATTTATATCCAATAAGGTACGAACTGCACACATCCCACCTTTGTGCTGGCGGTGTGGCGGGAGTAGACACGTGCAAGGGAGACGGCGGATCCTCTCTGGTGTGTCCCATCGAGGTAAGCCACGGCGCATTTTATACCGGCAGTCAATGCTTTGTTCGTAAAAATTACACTGTGACGGAGCCCCACAGCGTCGGCATATGTATATATCTACGACACAGGAGCCCATCCAATAATACATATATTTCTAATCAATATATGTTACAAACCAAATTCCACCTGACTTAGCACACTCGGCGTGGTGCCAACCACCTGAATTTCCTTGCTGAACAGCTATTAATAGCGGCAAACTTGAGCGGGAAAATATAGGCGATCATTTTTGAAGCAAATTGTTATTTATTGTAGTATACGTAAAAAAAAAAAAAAAAAAAAAAAAAAAAATTTTTTTATGACACATTACATTACACAACGTTCTCTAGTCCCAAACTAAGCAACGCTTGTACGGATCCAGCTTTGGTGCCAGGGGGGGGGGGGGGGGGGTCACGTAGTCGTGGTCAATTGCTTGTACAAAAAAAAAAACCAATTTGCTTGAACTTATTTATTAGGACTTACAATTTAAATTTATTAGGACTTACAATTTAAACTTCGAACTAAACTATAGCTAGCCTAACCTAAGTGTGATTCCGATCGATGCTAGATCAAGAATGACTCTCTTACTAAAATAAATCGTTAACCAAAGTTCTTGAATACGGTAAGCAGCGGTGTCGACTGGCGACGTTTCCATGGACGTCAGCTATATTGGAAGTCGTGGAACATAGCGGTGTCGCCTGACAACGCTCCCACGAACGTGAGCACGTCCTGGATGTGTAATCCGTTTACACGGTTTCAGCAAAACTTGATCGTGGGATTGTGTCGCGATGTTACGAAGAAGACGCTGCTTAGTTGCACTTTTCTATGGGAACGGATATGTAACAAGGTTATCAATTCGAATGTTTACATTTTTTTTTATGTATGTTCGGGCATAACTTCGTCATATATAGACGGATTTGCAAAATTCTTTTTTTGTTCGTAACAATTCGTTGCTTTTTATTGTCATATATTATACAGGATGGCTTTTATAAAGGTGCCCAAATTCATACAGGAGGTTCAAACTCGGAGTATAGCCGTTTATTGAAATAAATATAAACATTTTTTTTTATTAAAATTGGCATTCTATTCCCTAAAAAAACAGAACTTGTTGACAATGCGGTAGTCATTCATAAATGCGTCGTATACTTTTGAAACGAACTTGTCTGCATCTTAGTTATGAATGATAGCGCGTAAAATACATGAGTTGCCCATAAATCACGCACTTTCTGAGATAAGTTCAAATGAATGTAATTAATTAATTACCAGTGATTTTAAATATTTATCATTTTTTACTATAACTTTATTTATGTCTAGAAATTAATTAAAAAAATGGGTACACTTAGAAAAGCCTCCCTGTATAGTATTTTTTTTAAGTAGCTATTGGTAGGCTTACTTATTTTTGAAATTTCTCTTTATTTATTTCTTCGTTACCAGATTTTATGTAGTCGTATTGGTTATAATATTTCAATTCCTCTACTCCGCACGCTGGCTCCACTTCAATGACAAGTAGCCTAAGACGGGACTATCGGGACACGGGTTTATAATAATATATAATCAACCCAAATAAAAACTCCTAAAATAGCCGTACACAAAAAATTTCATCGTACATGTTAAATTTTTTTTCATAAATAAAAAAATATTTATTCAGTCATTCATTCATTCATTCATAATATTCAGCGATCGTCCATCTAATCCATCTAATCACAGACAGAATCCACATTCATACCAACGGAACGAACAAACTTTACTTCCCAAAGATGGGGTCGCATACTCACGTCCACTAAACCTCCACCTCTCACCACCCGTCAAAAACGGTCCACCCTTTAAGACCAATCAAACTCGACGCAGTTGTGTTCCTTAATTACTGAGTTCCTATGGCCACATTCCAGCTCTGTCATCAGCCCCTGGTTACCATCTTGCACTAAATAAATCGACAAGACGAATCAAACGAGCCAAAACTCGATAGGGTTCAGTCGTTTCATTACAGAGTGATCATAGGAACCTCACAGAATAGACCTCACAGAAGATCGGCGAAAAGTACTTCTGCGTTTTGTCTGGTGAGTGAGATAGCCGGAGCACACTTTATTGTAAGGAGAAAATGCATCTGCAAACCTATGGATGGACGGCTGAAGATGGAGCTCCATCATAAGATCCTGGTTACCTATGAAATTAATTAATTAATTTATTTGTTTATTTATTTATTTATCTAAGTGAAAGACAAACTACTCGTCAATACGATTCAAATGTACCCGAACGCGATGAGGCTCTGTCGTTTCATTGCGAAGTTCCTTTTGCCACTTTCCAGCTCCATCATCAGATCAGCACCATGTCATAAAAATATTGCATTGTCTCGCGATTTACACATGTATACAAAATTTCAGCTCAACCGGTAACCGGGAAGTAGGTCAAATTTAATTTGCAAGATTTGATGACAAACATTAAAATTTTGTAAAAATGTTCATAAAATGAAAACTACTTGGCCAAACTATGGTAATTTTTTATGGGTAAAAATGGCAACTATTCTACATCAAACTAAAGAAGAATCACGTAAATCGGATCATAAATCTCAACGTAATCGGTGTACATACATCGAAAAACAATATACCAATCGAATTGAGAAACTCCTCCTTTTGAAGTCAGTTAAAAATATTATATTAATTTAATTAAATATTGAAGGTACTTACATAAAATCTATATTGTGGCAAAAAATATATAAAAATATTATGTTTAACAATTTTAATTATTGGTCCACCTAGGTCCTGGACACAGCCCAGGGGGGGTCATGACCCCCATGACCCCCCCCTTGGATCCGCCCTTGCGCTTGTACTGGGTAGTACTCATAGTACAAGCGTTGCTTGGTTTAGATATTCTAGATAACTGATAAACATACTTAAACATACTTTTGTTTTGTAAATAAATACATATTATACATAATTATATAAACACCCAGACACTAGAAAAACACTATGTTCCTACAATATTTTTCCAGTAGTAGGATCGAACCCATACCCTCTGGTGCAGGAGTCAGGTACACTACCCACTACGCCATTCGTTTTGTCTTTATATATATTTAAATATTTGTATATTTTCTATATATTCAATTGTAATAAATGCTATTTACTATATACTTTTTACTTTTTTATTTACATTTTTATTCTCACTATTTAAAATATCATTTCACTTGCATCTTTTGCTGCACCTGCCATAAACTCTCACGACATCCTGAGTCGACTGGTAGAGAATGTCTTTGGGCATTAAGACCACCATTTGTCGCCATTTTTTACTTAAGGTTGCCAATAAAGATTAGATAAAGAAATAAAATAAAAATTGTTATTTCAAACATTTTCTCTTATCAGCAGCCGCAACCGTAAGTTGGGTATAGAACAAACATTTTGATGTACAGGGACCCCGCAGACATAAAGTCTCCACAGCAAACGGCACCAAAACATCTTACCAAGAAAGACTGATATATTACTATCGTCCATGCAGTAAGATAATTGCACCATTAACTTACAGCAAGGACCTTTTTTTTCTCTTTTTATCTAAACATTGCCCTTACCTTAGGATAACATTATCCTGTTCAGGACGTTTAACAAATATTTTCACGTGGGCAAACATCCACATGCATATCTGTGGGTCACATAAATAGCTGTCCCTTGTGGGAATGGAACCCACGAGCCCCGACGCCGAATGCCTTGGCGACTGCGCCACGGAGTGCTCAAACGCTAAAGATGTGTTATTTCTACAGGAGGGTCCTGATGCGCAGAGGTTCGCTGTGTATGGTATGGTCGCGTTTGGCGTGGGCTGCGGTAACCCCCTGCCGGCTGTGTACGTTAACATCCCGAAATTGCACTCCTGGGTGGACACCAAGATGGCCCAGGAGGGATTCGGCACCTCCACCTACAAACCCTAGGAAAACTTGCTGTATAGATTAAAGATGAACAAAACAAAGTCGATTATTTTATAATAAAACAATTGTTACAAACTGCCGGCGTCTGCCTTTCTATTATCTATGATACCAGCCCTCATAGAAGACCGGCGTAAAGTGTATTTTCACTTTTGCCTTTCGTCTGATCAGCGATATAATTAGACTCACTATTTAAAAGATTCGAAACTTAAATTGTAGAGTTCCGTGTGGACTTTCACAGTGACGTATTCTTATAATATTAATTCCATACTAATATTATAAAAGCGAAAGTAACTCTGTCTGTCTATCTCGTTTTCACGCCAAAACTACTGAACCGATTTGAATTAAATTTCGTACATAAATAGTCTAGAGTCTGAGAAAGGACATGGCTATTTTTAATTGGATTTTTTTTAAAGAAAGATATTTTTATTTAAGGGCTTCAACGCGAGCGAAGCCGCGGGCGAAAAGTTAGTATAGAATAAGTTGCAAATAAAAGTTGTAAACTGATATTGGCGCCAAAAGTCAGCCGTTTTTTTTCCACAATGATAAAGGTTGACTGTTATGAATGCCATTAGGCATTAAGTCTGCGAAATGTAGATGTAAGCTTAATAAAAAATATATACTTTAACTTATTTCGTACAAAACGGCAATTTCGTAGGTAAAGATTTAATTTATATAATCACATAAGATTACATTGTGTAAGAATATATAAAAATATGTCACTTTACAATAATATAAAACTAAATAATGTCGTGGAGAATATTTGGCGCAGTATTTATTTAAATCTTACGTTCGTGTTAAGAGTAGGTATAGGTATGTATAATTCTTAATATTCTCTGGGCACGAAACTTTCATTAGCTTTAGAAAATCATAAAGTCACGCGAATAGACGCGTACATTCAACTTAAGAACTTGCACTTTCCCTTAACAAATATAGTCATGTATTTTTTGGACTATTATTTATTAATTGTACACTCAAATTCTCTATTAAATAATGTACTGAAATCTGTAAAATCCAGTTAACTCAAATAAACATGGAAGCATTATTGTCGCTCCAAAATGACAACGAAAAACTATACCGTGACGGAGCCCGTAAAGGGCATCGAATCCACTCCCTCTGGCGTACCAGGTTTTTTATTCCCTACGCCATCGCCTACCGTTTCGCCAAAACAGATCGTTTATTGACCGCCCATCACTAGTCCTTATACTACGGTCTTTACGTCGATCGATGTTAAAGTTGTCAATATTAAAATTATACAAGTTGATTTTTAGACGAAGTACATACTTTGACATTATTTTTATTGAGCATTCCATAATTCAAAAAAAATATTTTATTTTTACAAGAAATAACCAGAAAAATATCAATTCAAACATTGTTTGTTTATGCAGTTAAGAGTGGGCACTCTATTGATAATCGGTTAAGTAATTAGTGCTCGTCAATAGGTTATTGTATTGAGACGGTAAGGCAGGAATTTCTTAAGGTGGCCATAATGTTAAAAAAAAATTTAAATAATCTTTCCCACTACTGGGCAAAGGACTCCTCTATACAGAGGGTATCAGGGGATAGTTCTCATAAACAACTTGAACTATCACGGTTCATGAGATACAGCTTGGACAAACGGTCAGACAGACCGACTGATAGACAGCGAGGTCTTAGTAATAGGGTCTCGTTTTACCCTTTGGGCACGGAACCCTAATAAAATAAGCAAATAGCGTATGTAAAATAATTATCTACTTTTAACATAGGTGTTTATATATTGATGAAAGAGCGACTGGTCCGAGAGAAAAAGCTTTAAACCAAAATATTCAAAATACTACAATAACATTTAATTAGTTAGTATTGTGCAAGTTTTTCACGCTCGACGCACGAGTACTGTATTTCTCTATACTTATTTTAATTAAAAGTTAACTATAATATTGAAAACAGGTGAAACTTTTGAATTAATCAAAGCCTCAGAATTAACCACTGGAGCTACTGTACTATTTCACATTTATTGTAAATTAAACTCGACAGGTCGAGGTCGATTATACCAATTCGTATTATTTTAGATGACGTCAGCTGTTTCTATGATTTTATTTAAAACTTCAACCTCTGTTTTTTTTTTATAATTCTCGCTCCGCCGCAGTATAAAACATACAGTAGTCTTATTTCAAAAGACTATTGTAGGCAGGGCCGGATTTAGGGGAGGGCAACCGGGGCCACAGGCTCGGGGCCTCCACAATAGACTTGGGAAAAAAAATTAAATTTCAGACTAGTAAAGAACTTTTCCTTTCATATTTTATTTCGCGTTTTACCTTTACCTAAAATTATTATACTTAAGCTAAAATTTTAATTTAGATATTTCTTGTTTCCAATTTTTTTTTCTTTTATGTGAAAATCTGCCAAACGACCAACGGTTCACCTGATGTTAAGTGAATATGGACATGGACATCTGCTACACCCGAGGGTTCCAGATGCGTTGGCAACCTTTTTAACCACTTGATTTACTTTTCAAAAGGTAGGTTTTTTTTAAAGGTGTGTAAATAAAAAGGAAAAAAAATGGTCTCACAATTTTAATACTCATTCAAAACAATGAAATAAAATAAAATTAACAAAAAAAAAATTGAATAATGATCCATATTTACAGTAAAGTAATTTGATAAATATGATTATAAAACGGATTCAACCTTAATCTAAAGATCTCGCCACACTTGGGCGTTTTGTTTGGTTACACAATCTGTACTAACTTTTTAAACTCTGTATTAGATTTTATTTCGTTACGTAATCTGTTTTAACATGAATATATATTCGGTTTATCGAATTGATAAATTATATCATTTCTATTTAACAACAATTGGTAGTTGATCGATGATTATAGAATATTTAAATATAATTTCATAACACATATAAACTTGTCGCATTACGGACAACGCAAAGGTCACTTAAGTCGCGGGAAAACTTTTAAAAAACTAATTTCGAACAGTTCACCATAGTGTTTAAATTTATTTTATTCGACATTGAAATGAAACGACGTTGGCACTAGCATGGAGGGCTCTCGATTTCGTGTAAACTTCTCAAATAACAATTATCCACATAAATTACAACTAGTTATTCACGCATTACATATTATAGTCAAAGCTCGGAATTATTGAAATCGTTTAAATCGCATCAGACTTGTGTGAAACTGTTTTATTGTTGTTTTTTTTTATACCATTCTCATAAAGCGTTCTAATTGGTCTGTAAAGGTGGCAAGTTAAAATCCATTGGCGTAGTAATTGAGGACGTCATACAGTATATGCATATTACCTCTTTATAGTGTCATTCGTTGGCGCCAAAATAATGCATCGCCCATTTTTAATTTAGGATAAATTATCTTTATTATTAAATTCGGCGCGACGCCCGATTTCAAAAAGTCACCTTTACTCTACGAACGAAACTACTATTATATACCTAGTATATATTAATTGAAGATAGGCACGTTTTCGGTTTCTATACAGATTATATATAAATTTGTATTTTCTCCATTCAACTATGTCTCGATTACAAGTAAAAGCGTTCTATACAAAGTTAGGCAATAAATATTTGTTACCTACCACTAGTGAAAAATAGCAATAAATCTAAAAACAAAAAGATGCGTACAAATTGCTCTTATTATAATTGGTGTATTCCTTTTTTATATTATTCGTGATAAATATATATTTACTAGGAAACATTTCATCTGAATCTGAATTTATAGATCCCATTGAGTTATGTTTTATTATGTATCTATCGATCGCGAATCTACAATTGTTCACGTACAAACTATGTATAGACTTTGAGCTCTATGATCTCTATTTTTAGTCTGTCGCCGAATGGACAGATTACGCTGCAGCGCGACGCAACCACGCGGCCAGTGAATGTCAGATTGACATTTCGCAGAAATTAAAAAAAGAGTGCGTTCGATTGTTTTTTTATGTCGTCAGCTTCGCAGCTTGCACTGAACACATGGGTAGGCTTAAATTTTTTTTTAAATAAATAAATTTTCGTTACACTTTGCTGCACCGATTAAACATACTTTTTTAATTGGGTAGGATTTTTGCCTTTTTTTATCGTGCAACACTGGCCGGCGCGGCGGTCGCGGTGCGCGCGACTACGTGCCCACTACTCCGAGGTGTTTATCGTGATCGTCTTCCCCTTGGGGTCGTCGAAGCGGTCCATCGTGCGGATGTCCAGCATCATCATGATGCCGTAGAAGGTGATCGCTAGGAGGACGAACACCACGAACAGTCCCGACCAGATCGGCACCGAGAAGAAGCCCACGCAGTTCAGCGACTCGCCGAAGACCAGCTCGGATTCGTTCGTGCTCCTAAAGTAGGGCTGCACCTGTCGATCGAACGGCAGATTGTGAAATGTACACGTGGTATATGAAACTAATTTTACCGATTTATCGCGTTTACAGTGTTCATGGTCACGGGGCAGACTGTCCCGTGACCATGAACGCTGTAAAGGGTTCGAAACGTCGGGAATTAAAATTAAAAATAAACGGGATAAATCCGTAAAATTAGTTTCATTTATAATGTGTAATCACGCAAATACAAGAAATTATCATGCACACGTAGATTAAGATACTGCAACCGAGCACACGCCATCTGACCCCCTTCCCTAATTTTGAAAAAACATTCCCCTTGCTTGAGGATAGCATTATCCTGTGCTGTACGGACATTTTACAAACATAAATTTCAGGCGGACAAACACCCAGATGCGAAATAACTGTCTGTTAGTCGCACAAATAGTTGTTCCCGTGTGGGAATCGAACCCACGACCCCCACGCCGAACACATACCTTGGCAAGTGCGCCACGAGTCATCAATGGTTATAGCACGGGACTATAACTTGTTACCAACAAATGATTGTTCCAGATCTGGGTGTTGGCTCGCAATGAGGGGTTCGCCTGACAGGCAGCCAGTCGTATTTTTTTTGTTTATATGTAATGTGAAAAGTTTTCAAGTAGGCTCATGGACATCTACAGCAACTGAGGGGCATGTGATTATTTGCAGATGCGTTGACTGCCTTCAAAAAATGGGCCCCGGATACCTCGTTCAACAGACGAACATAAGCAAAAGTATAATACCTTCCACTTCACACATATTTACTGTGAACGTGCATCGTCAGCAAAAGCTGTTGCGTGGTCCAGCGCGATCGTTGAAGGACCTAGCCACCTAAATAAATCGTCGACCCCATCTAGGTGATACGGACAGGAGGAAAGAGGACAAGAGCCGGGTGATGTTAACTGATCACCACCGTCCATGGACATCCACGACGCTGGTGGGGAGGCAATTGAGGTGCCAATCTTTAGGTGGATGGTACTTTGACCATCTCTGGCCAAAAGAGACAAATAGGTGATTTCGGCTTCGTAGACATTAAAATGTAGCTGTTCATGAGCAATGTCACCAAGTCAGTACTGCCAGAGCCGCAGACGAGAACGGACAAGTGAAAGTAGAGGCATTAAAATACATTACAAATATATATTCAATTACTAGCTGGCTCGCGCAATTTCGTCGGTGCCAATTCTACCGGGTCCATACGTTTCTACTTTTAGCATAGCGCCATCTATCGGATGCTGAGTAAGCATCCGATAAATTTATCTTACACCGCCATCTGTTAGAATCTTATGGGACTCACAGACAGCTCTTTGTCATCTAAGAAACAAATAATTTGCAATTACAAATATTGAGATCAATAATTGAGATAAATATCTAACAAGTTGGACCAAATTACAAATGCTTACAAAATTTGATAAAAATTGCTTCAGTAGTTTCGGAGTTTATCACTAACATACATCGTGACACGATTTTTTTATATATATATATATAGAAGATTCTTTTTCTACAAATTTTAATGTTTAATCTTAAGTACAGAGATTGGCACTATAAAAATTTTAATTTCTTAAAAGCAACGGCGACATCTCTCGTTTCAATTATCGCTGTAACACGATATTCGAAATTGTTTGTATGCTGGAAAGGATATAAAAATGGATGCGCCAAGCATTGCTTCAAATGCTAAAAAACAATGTAGATAAAGGACGTTGAGAATTTCTTCGGCGTAGCAAACAGCCCACGAAGTCGTGGGTTATCTAATATATATTTGTTATTTTTATATTATTATATTTGTTATTTTAATTTTAACAATTATTACAATCAGAACTGAAACAAATCGAGGAACATGATTTTAAAACTATGAAAATTCAACATGTGAGAGTGTAACTATAAAAAAACGTTAGAACCGATTTATTTTAACTCGGAAATTTCTAAACAAACACAATTGGTACTTTTATCAGATATACTTTTCAAATGCGATATAATTAATCGCGTGTAATTTATCGTTCTTTGGTCTCGCAAGAAGTGCTTTATAAATAATAAAACATATTGAAATAATTACTAGGCTAACGTGACAAAACAACATTTATGGTGTAACACGCTAACAGGCCAACATTTTAAGAAGTGCTACACAAAACTTCGACGTGAATTTCCATTTAGGACGTATAAGACCACACATTTAAGTAGACCATATTGTTACTTATTTCCAATCAAAGTTCGCGTTTGTTTACTTATTTGAAATGCCCAAATCGTAATTAACGGAACGCTGAGATGGCCTTTAGCGTTAGGGTATTACTAACACCGTTTATTTGTTATAGGTGTCAGACTGGGCTTGGGCGTTTATACCATATTAAGTTCAGTTAACGGGTTAGTTGAATTCTCCAAATGCAACCGTGACAAATATAATTAAAGTTAACGCTATATTTAAGTAATAATCGAAAGAACGTCGTGTTTTCTAGATATTCTAAGTGGCTTTTATAAACTACTAGCGATCCGCCCCGGCTTTGCACGAGTGCAATTTATTATACATATACCTCTTGAGTCACTATATAGTTAAAAGAACCGCATCAAGATCCGTTGCGTAGTTTTAAAGATCTAAGCATACATAGGGACCGACGGACAGCGGGACGACTTTGTTTTATGCTATGTAGTGAAAATGGCAGCCCACGGCCGCTCCGTAGACGTTATGCGTCGAGATCGATCGAGTCTTGGCTTGCGGCGCCCGGCTGTCTGCCGCCAGACTCAAGCTCTCGCCAGATAGACGTCACTCGACCCTAAAGCCCAACCCGGTTTCTGAAACACCGGTCATCGTAGAAGTTTTTTTTTTATATGAAATGTTGCCAAACAAGCGGTTCACCTGATTAAGTGTTAAGTGAATACCGCCGCCTATGGACATCTGCCACACCCGGGGGTTCCAGATTCGTTGACAACCTTATGAAAATTTGGCTCCGGCCACCTCACTCACCAGACGAGACGCGAAAGTATTATACTTCCACTTTACGCCGGTCTTCTGTGAGGTCGTGGTACTTACCCGGACGAGACTCGCCATTCGTGCAACAGCCGAGGCTGCTGTGTGGCCCTACTACATTAAAAAAAAAACCCGTGGCACTCGAGGACTGCCGCGGTAAAGCTATTGCATAGCATTTTTAACAACTTATGCAATTATAATTATTTATTTATTTTTTATTTATGCAGTATTTTTTTTCGTTGATAGTAATTTTGAGCGTGGTGACCGATAAGAAAACATTTTTTTTTATTGAATATATGAGTCTTTGATGAATATATGAGTTTTATTGAATAATATCGTTTAAAATATTTTTATTATCTTACAATACATAGTAGGTTATTCAGGAAGTTATATCATTGAAATTATAGCTTTATGGTAACTGAAATAAGAAATAATCATAAAAAAATCATATCATCATATGATAATATAATATTATAATATAATAATATCATATTATAATATCCATCCGTGCGAGTTTCGCACGAAGCACGTTAAGTGAACGCTCGGCCGAGCTACATGTTAGGCGGTGTCGGGGGGTGTTAGGTTTTAATTTCGTTACGGAAGTTCTTAATTCGGTCGCCGCGCTCAATAATAAAAGCTATGCAATAGCTTAAAAAAAGTTAACTAATCAGCTGTCAAATGGCTTTTTAAATGTCATTTGAGTTGCCAAAACGACGGTTTAACTCTCAAAGAGTTTTTCTCGAGGAATTGATCATTCTTATCATTAAGATCGATTCAGAGAGTTCGACCATCGTGTTGGCGACTCAAATGACATTTGTCAAGGCATTTGACAGCTGATTAGTTGACTCCCACGATGATCGGTGTTTCATACACCGGACTACAGTGACACAAAGCAAATGCCCCACACTCGCAAGAGCTCGCCGTGTGTGACAGGAAACTCGCAGCTAGTAAATCACCGCTAGATTGTATGCCTGAATGGGCGACATATTTATATTTGCGGCGACGACATACCGCCGATATTCTCGCGCAGAAATCGCCCTGTGACCTACAGGAAATGATATTTATGTAAATACAAATACGAGGTAGATATTACACTGGCGCACCGAAACTGGGGCACTCAATTTACACCAATTGGTGTAATTAGATTCCATATCATCTGTCGCATTCATTTATACGGTATGGTGTTACAACCGCGACATTAAATGAACACACCTCTAACGCTACTTGCCAATAACAAAAAAAGTATAAAGGTTAAAAAAACTCCATAATTAAAAAAAATAATTTTCAAAGAAACTAATTAGATAAATGAAACAATATTTGTAACACCTATACAATTTAGAGATTTTTTCCTTCGTTGCCACAACGTCACATTACAAGTCCGTCCTTCTAACTTTGATCTCTTTTAAATTCATTTAACTAATTCATATGCGTTGTGAACTTTACAAATTAGCTAATTATTGTTATATTACATTATTATTATTACTACGACCCATATTTTTATCTTCGAAGCCGATACTGGTATTTTTATTATTATATCGATATATATCTTCACTTTCGACATCCCTAGCGTCGACTTAGTGTCGTAAAACTTGCCCTTTTCCCAATTATCCGGAATATTCTATTCAAACGAGAAGGTCGGACGTGCCGTATTTAATATTAATCGAATAGTCCTGGCAGTGCGATAATATATACCTCAAGCTTCTACGTTATAGCGAGTTGTAAAAATGGAATAAAAAACATTTCGAAGATATGTAAAGTCCGACAATCGCATGGTGGACTATGCCCTAATACGCTTTGTACAGAGGAAGCATTTGCCCAGCAGTGGGAATTGTATAAGCTGTTTTTACCACTACGAGTGTACGTGAATTTTATGGGTATTTCAGGCAAGAAACGGTCGTATTAGTGTCACAAAACAACACTTGAGTACGGAGAATTGCGTGGCTCACACAAATACGTCTGGGAATCGAACCCACGACCCAAATCAATAAATAGCAACTGCGGCATCAAGAAGATAAGCAATAATTATTAATACTATAATATATTCATATTATATTAAATTATTTAATATAATATGAATAAAATTATTTAATATAATATGATCCATATTTTTAGTAGAGTAGTCATGTTTTTTATGCATGTTGAAGTTGTCATGTTAGAAACATAACGCCGGAAAACATGCATATGATTTAAATTACAAATAAACGAAACATTTTGTTAGTGTAGATTTATACAACCCTAAAAAAAAACATGCGTTTTAATTTATCACGATTTTTGTCACTCGATCAATTAAAACAATTCCTTCTGAAATTGTGCTGTTCATATTAAATTAACTAAATATATACGTCGCTTTTAAAAAACAACCCTTTGCATAAATTACTAGGTCAGGATCGGCAAATTTATAGCACCTATAACTCCGTTCACACAGAATCCTGAATTAGAAAGAACCAAAATTAATATTAATGATCAATTTTATTCTGACTAAAAATCAAACCTATTTCACAACAACACAAGTTGTAGAAGTCGGTTGTTATTACAAAAACTTGTACACACAAACAAACTAATTTATAATTTTATTTATATAAATGTCTTTGAACATGAAAATTATTATTAATGAAAAACAAAACCGAATTCAAATTCGCGCAATTTCGCTCTGTATTCATTTTATAATTGAGTTCCCCAAGTATCTCCGGAGCCCAAATTAATATGGGACCACATGGGATGCACCAGATTTCAAATAAAAAAAGAATCATCAAAACCGATTCACCGAGTCGAAAGTTATGAGGTAACAAACATAATAAAAAAAATATAGTCGAATTGAGAACCTCTGACGTTTTTTAAAGTCGGTTGAAAACACTTGTCTAATGCTGGAATCAAACCCACAACTCTTGGCACTAATGCCAGTTTACTCAATCACATAACATTTGCCTGTGGGGCAATGAAAATAAGTTGAGTTTGTTTGTTACGATGAAAACAATATATATATGCTTCAAAACTGACGATGACTTTGTGGCGCAGTTGCCAAGATATTGGCTTCGGTGTCAGGGATCGTGGGTTCGGACAAACACACGGATGGTTGTTTCACATCCGGGTGTTTGTCCGCGTGAAATTTATGTTTGTAACACGTCTTTAAAACTCAGGATAATGGTATTATTCTAAAGAAAGGGCAGTTTAAAAAAAAAACTTACTTTCATGTCTATGAAGGTAACGGCGTACGGTACGGTTTCGTTTACAGTCGAGAAGGTGACATTCTCTGCACACCTGTACGACCAGCCCTTGATGGAGTAGACCTCAACTTCAGGGTACAGAGTTTCGTTCACACCGGCCCTCGTGAGGATGACAGTTCCTGGGGAAGGCAAGTAGTGGCTTAGAAATTTCAACCACACCACCTCGATGTGCTGTTCCAGGCATTTCCTGCCTCTCACTACCACTCTGTGGAACCAGCTGCCGCGGCGGTCTTTCCAAACCGTTACTGCCTGGACTCCTTCAAGATGAGAGCATATTCTTTCCTAAATGGCCGGCAACGCATTTGCAAGCCCTCCGGTGTGGTAGATGTTCATGGCCGGAGGTGATCACTTACCATCAGGCTCCTGATCGTTTGCCCCCTTTTTTCCATAAAAAAATTATACTACAAATAAAAAAATACACTAGGTTTTAGTTCCTTAGTGTGAGAAAGCTTGCAGCAAGCTTATCTATTTGTTTATGTTTATTATTGATTTGTTTGATTATTAGCGATTTGAGTTCAAACCCATGCCATTAAAAGTGTGTATAATCTTTTTATGCAAAAAGTTGACAGAGAACACACAATGTTAATTGAGAAACACTGCGAATAGATATCTTCAATACCTGACGGATTGCAAATGTAAATTAAAGTTCATGCACCAAATGACACTTCAGTTTTCTTCACACAATAGAAACTCCCCCATTTTGAGGCTATACTATAATGAGGTATGATTTGCACCACATAAAAATATAGCTATAATATATATATATATATATATATATATATAACTGATATATAATATAGCCAAAATATCAGGCTGATACACAATAATAATTAAAAAAAATAATGAAACTTCTTACCAGAAAATACTACATTTAACATGTTCACTGGAATAACTTTAAAGTGAACTCTCGGAGCAAGTCGTTACCACTGAATGTGTTAAGACCATAACCTAGTTTTCAAAAACATTATATCATACTCTAATAAGCTATTAGTTTTCTGGAAAACTTTAAATTTTAATTTATCGGGTCGAAATGGATAGAAAAAAAAAGCATTAGGCCACCAACTTTTAATATATGAATTATGTTTATAATCTACTTCGACCCGCCCTGGCTTCGTATTTATTTTTATTTGTAATTTGGTTTTATATAAGTACATTGAATACAAGTACATTAAAATTGTATATTCATGGAGTATGTCAGTGGAATTTTATTTCAGTGGAAGATGTATGCTGAAAGAAATTACAGAAAGATCCACAATTTTTATATTTATCTAACCATGACTCTGTATTTAACTTACCAAAACTCCAATATCCATTATTCTCAACAAAGTTAAGCTGCAAGTTGTCTGCTCCAAAGTTCATAGTGGTGCTCATCATTGCATCATCAAACTGGGTGGTGCTACTCTCCAAGTTGTCCAACCAAGTTGTTTTGTTGCCTTCGCTAACTAAGAGCCTGTTGAGGTAGAGTCGAAGGCCATTCATCTTATAATCGAAACTGTTGCCTGAAGCCGCCTGGCGTCGGACGCGAAGGTGACTCTCGGGGATGGTCCAAGAAGGAAAATGAGCGGTGTAAATTGCAACGACCTTGCCATAGCGGTTGTGGAGCTTCGTGTACATGTCCTCCATGAAGTCATTGTGGCGACGCAACAGGTCCGCCCTGGACTCACCCTCATGGGCATCTTTAAGGTTAATGAAAAGGAATTTGCCACTCTCTGGCTCGATTTCGGCCGAAAGCCCATTTTCGTTGAGTTTAACGTGATCTACCTTGTCAGGATCGGCCAGTTTGTTGAGGACGTCGAGGGCATTTTCAACAGCCGGTAGGTACAACGAATCATCAATATTGGCGCGCAAATAAGGGAAGGGTGATTCGCCGTCCGCAGTCTTCCGTGAAAAATCCTCTACTGATAGGGTCTCTTCCATAAATATAACTGTAAAAAGATCACCTTGCAACTTCTGGTGCAAGGTATTAGCGAATTCCTCAGCGTTTACCGCAGCCAAGGGGTTAGATTCCGATGTTGTCTTCGCTAAATCACCCCATAGGAACACTGGTACTTGAGACGCGTAACTTTGGACTACACTTAACACTAAAAGTGAAAATACTAAACGGCAGTACGCCATTATTATCGAAATTTTACTACAACTAGTGGACGTATGCGGACTAAAAGTATAGTTTTAGCCCAAAATTTGTCATAAAACTACAAGAAATGGGCGATGACGACTGACCATCGGTCATGTGAAAAGTGATCATATGATTACTTTGACGCTTGCTTGTCTATGATATGGATAACATTACCAGTAAAATTATTTACAATGTATTAATCGTAATACATTAAAATATTGTATTATTACAAACTAATTGTAAAAATATTTATAATGTATGTATATATTTTAATTTTTTTAAAAAGTACTTATAAATTTTTTGCGATTACTATACCTTTATAACGAAAAAAGGAAAGCGTAAGATGCACTGTGCCTTTGGAAAGGCCTATTTCCAGCAGTGGCCTGCAAAAGGCTCATTTTTTGATTGATATATCAATTGCATAAAAAAATTAATTTACGTTTTGCTTTAGCTGCTTTTTATTTTGATTTTTAGTATTTTCTAGAGAGGATCAAATTTTTAAGATCGAGATATATCGATATTATTATATATCGATATTATGATTATAATAATAATTCTTTGAAATATCGAATAAAATTAATAGTCTGAAAGTCTCATCTTACTGGTCAAAAATTAGTTACATACAAATTACCTTTACTTTTTTATTTAATTTAAATGTTACAATTTGACCTCCAACGCCCCAATAAAATCAGCGGTCGAAGGTATTCGTATACCTTGGACGTAGTGCAATAATCACTGGCAAGTTGAGAGCTTCTCTAGTCAGCTCTACGCATAGACCAATATACTATTATACGATATACTGCTCGGACTGACCTCGAACCATATACGGAGTATGAACGAGCCACTTACCCGCAACTTCAGTGAGGCCCAAAGTAAGCTTAGGTGAAGTTTTCTCTTTGATGGGAGAATTCGTCTAGTTCTTTAAAAAAGGAGACAAGGCCCCACTGAAGAATTACCGACCCCTCTCACTCCTGAGCCATGTCAACAAGCTGTTCAAGAGTCTTCCTAAATAGTTTTGAACGAATATTCGACGAATTTCAACCACCAGAACAGGCCGCATGTCGACGAGGTTATGGCTCCGTAAACCACATCCACACATTGCGGCTGTTGTATAGAAGTCACAAGACTACAATCAGCCGCTATGATTAGCGTTTGTGGACTGTGAGAGGGCATTTGTCTCCATCGAGATATCGTATGTTCTGGAGTCTCTGCAACATTTCCATGTGGAATAGTGATACATTCAGACACATTGATCGAATGATATAGTAGTTTTTGGAGTGAAAACTCTTTTTAACTCTTGCTACCTGAAAAAGCATATGTAACAGTTGACAGTTCAGTAATTTGCATAGGCCATTAACAAAGAGTATATTATCACTACGTTTTATTCTGTTCATCAATTTTGGTCATTAGCGTTTAAGTGTAAACAATGAAACTTGTGACTTTCGTCCGTTCGATCCTTATTGTCACCGCGATTGGATGCAACGGAGATAGGACCGTGCCGGTTCTACTCTTAGACTTTGACAAGTCCCTTAGCCTGTTAAAAGTCGACAGCAACCCCTTGGTCAAGCTTTCGAGCGAGCATTTCGTCGAAATCACTCGTGATATCTTGAACAGCAGCAAAGCGGTAATAATATTCGTAGAGGAGACCCTCTGTGCTGAAGACATAAGCACTAAAGACACCAACGGTTCGGCGTATAAACACTTGCGAGAGGCCCTGACGCGTGGTCAAGTGCGCTATTTACCCTCCGTGGCCGACCCTTACGCGATCTTAAAAAAGACCTTCAACATTCAGAACACCAACGTGTTTCAAATGAGCGACGCCAAAGTGCGGATCTACGATCCGCAGCACAAGCACTACTACGTGCACTTCGTGGACGAAAACAAAGAGAAAAGAATAGAGGCGCTGAGGAGGCACGACGGCATAATGAGGGAGGTGTACTTCTCGATGAGGGACGCAACGGGCGGTCCCGTGGTGGCCATTTACACGGGCAAGAGGAACCCAATCGTGGTGAAGAAACTCGCGTCGGCGCCACTGAAACGGAACTCTCTATCGCAGGATGCGAGCGTGATCGTTGAGAGCAACGATGCGCTGTTTCGATTCTCCGGTCAGTATTATAAGTATCCGCAACTGAGTAGCTAGCTTGGTCGAAGCAAATTACTCAGCAGATCCTGCAGCACGCATGGGTAGGCTCGTGGTGGGAAGTACTATGAGTTCTAACGTTTTTACCTTGATTCTAATATTTTAACTTTTACTGAACTTGAATATTAACAACTATTATAACGACAAGTAGCACTAGTGGATGTATCACTGTCCGGGAACGCAGCCGAAATCCAAGTGACTGCTGCTGCATGCGACCATGTGTCCCTTGGCTCGAGTAGATAACGTCATATCCGGTATACAGTGTTGCCAGCGCCAACATTCGGCCGTCCTGCATCACGCCTTCGTCTTCGAATGGTGTTGTAGTCTGATAAAAGTAACCTTGATAAAATTAACACCTTACCCTTCTCGCCACTTTCAAAACACTTACCCTGTGGCCCTTATCCCTCAACTGGGATGCATATCGCCACGTTCAGAACACCTTAAATTTTCCAACTACAAAAATTCTCGGTAGCTTAACCGGGTAAACCAGTTGTGTATCGCTATTTAACATTTTCTCTAATTTGTTAAGTTATTAATTAAGTTGAAGGTACTCACCAAAGCTTTCGTAACATTTAACTAAAAGGTTTTATCACCATTACGTATAGTAAGTATAAAACACACTGTTTTATTTTACGAAGATAGGTACCCACGGAGAAAATATGTAGCCGATTGTTTTAACAGCCCAGCGCGAGTTTTCGTATTGAATCCCACTTCTGATATGAGTTCTAACGTTTTTACCTTTATTCGAATATTTTAACTATTAGGGATCCTGAATATTATCAACTATTATAACGACAAGTAGCACTAGTGGTTGCATCACTGTCCGGGAACGCAGCCGAAATCCTAGTGACCGCTGCTGCATGCGACTATGTGTCCCCTGGCTCGAGTAGATATATCCGGTATACAGTGTTGCCAGCGCCAACAGTACCACGGCGTAACATTAGACCGACGTAAATTGTGCTAAATTCCGCTCGCAGCTCCAATCCGCGATGTCCATCGTGGATTGAGCTGCGTTCAGTAAACATCGGGTGGTCCTGCTCAATTGGAAGCCTCTCCGAAAGAAAACTTGACAGCTCGATTTTCATTCAATGTACTCTAGTCGAGCAACTTTAGTTAAAATCCCATCACAGACTCCGTGCTCAGCGGTGAAGGAAAACAAGGGGATACCTATACAATTTCGAAGTAATACAAAAAAAAATCGAAGATATGTAAGTCTGCCAGTTCGCATTGGTGCACAGCTTAGTGAACTGTACTCTGATAGTGTCTGTATAGAGAAGGCCTTTGACCTGCAGTGCGACACATATGTACATATACGCTGTTACTTAAGCGTCTTAAACTGGTGTCAACTGTGATCAGGTGTCTACTCCACGAGTTCCAGCCGCCACTCTCGGTTCAGTCAGATCCCTATTGTCGCCGAGGAGAGGACGAGCCGCCGCCATCTCTCCACGAAGGTCGCGTACACGGACTTCGACCTGCAGTTCAACTTCACCTTCAAGAAGGACGGCTGGACTATCGGTGAGACTGTCTTCTAAGTCCATTTAATTACGTTTTTCCCCAAACGAGCCATTAGTATCAAGTATTTGTATTATTTTTGTTACCTCAGAACTCGCTCGTTTAAGAACTGATTTTACGATTTCTTATTGGATTGGGTTTGGGTTAATTCACATGGCATCCAGCCCATGTTAATTTTATTAGTATTGGTCCTAGGACCAGCGGATACATCAGGGAACTCCACAAAATCAAATCGAAATTGTATAATGAGTGAAATATCTGAAGTACTTTATGAGTTTCAACGCAGAGTGAATCGGTATTACTGACTTACAACAATTTCATCGTCGTGTATACCGGAATTTCAGTTTTAAGGTTTAGCACAATAAAATACAGTCGTAATAATATTGTACGGCAAAGTAACAGCCCCTGGTCTTGCTGGACTGGGCATCCTCTTTTGGTAAAGTACCACGGCGTCACATGAGATAAGCATGGTATTATCATACTTTTGCGTTTAGTTTGGTAGTGAGTGATTGGGGACTAGGCCCTGCCGATTCTTAAAAAAGTTGGCTTTTTGTAAAGATGGACAACGCACATGTTTGCCCAACGGTGTTGCAGACATTCGTGGGCTGCGATAATGAGTCAACAACAGTTGACAGTAACTTGCTAACTTCTCACGCAGAAAAACTACCATTACCCTGGATACGGTCGACTTAGGGACGCATTTTAAAGGAGAGGTGTGTGAATAATTACATCAACCCCCAGACAGACTGCCGCAAAGTACGATTCTAAGTCCATATAAGATGGGGAAGAAAGGTTCTCGAGTGGCAGTCTTGTAGTGGCCGACGACCTGTGCAAATGTGCGGGAAAAATTGTATAGTTCCATGATGATATAGTAATCAAATGTTGTAATCCATGAATCTAGATGACGTGGCCCTATTAGAGGGCGGAGAGGAGGTTGGTCGCGCGGGCGTTGGCGGCGGTGCCCCTTGGGACTGGTCATACGTGTGTGGAGAACCGCTGGTGGTGATAAACACACGCGACGGCAGCGCGGTCACCATCTCGCATTACCAGGTCTTTCCATCTCTCTTCACCACGTCGTTAACATCTCACATTACCTGAGTGTTACCACCCACATCTCATGACCACCGCGACTGGTGGCAATGGTAAAAAGCCTACCGATTCAATTTCCAATGCAAATGTTTTATTTCCCATAAAAAACTTATTTAGATGAATATAGCAGCTTGCAAATACAGAACTATTGGTTTGTTTAATGACGCCACGAGATGTAACTTTTGACTATAAGCTTGGATCTTTAGAAACGTAACCTGTACACGTTACGCCGAGATAATTTCGGCCAAGCGAATGTATGAGCGAGTGGTTATGGAAATGTGGATGTCGTTTGGTTTCACCCTTAATTTTAATATAGTTATTACGGTTTTGTTTCTTCATCACTGTTTTTGCAATACCAGGCACTGATGGACACTTACCGACACAAGCTATTGTTATAAACCATGAATATGAATGAGCTAGTGAATATGCTCCAGTAATAGAGCAAGAAGAATTTTGTACGTTAGGTTGACTTGATATTGACAGTCTCTGCTCTGTCTGTTAATCAGTTTTCGTTTCAGTATGTCTTATCTATGCTGTTAATATATTTGTGCGGTAGTGACAGACAGGTTAGAGTATCTCAATGTATGAAATTCTTCCCGCTTCTTGACCACACCATAGACAAAATTAAGTTTGAGATGTTTGCCGTTTTAAAACAGAACTTAATTTAAAAATAAGCCAAATTTCTCTTTAAAAAAGAAAATAATTTAAAAATATATTAACGACGGTATGACACAAACTTTACAATTTCTTTTTGTAAAGTACAAACTCAATTTCTTTTTAAAATGAAACTGTAAAGTTTGTGTCATGCTTTCATATTATTATACTGATGATATTTGTTACAACACTTGGAAATATCATTCACACGTTTTCACAGATCCAGCCGTTCAAACGCGCCGGGCGGTCGTACGGCGACGACCCGCCATCTCGAAAGCAAGACGGCGAAGGGCCCCCGCCCCCGGCTGAGGAGGCACCACCCCCGCCCCCGCCCCCACCCCCGCCTGAGGCGCCCCCTGCGGAGGCGCCCCCAGCAGAGGCGTCGCCGGACAAGCCGAAGAGTTTCGGCAAATCGGTGCACTGCGGGCCGTACTTCAACTCGGCCATCCTCGCCGGCCTGATGGTCACCGCGGTGCTGCTCGGCATACTGTTCGTGGGCATCGGCGCGGTGTACGGGTGCCGCGCCAACAGCCGCTACGACGACGCCCAGGGGAAGCCTCTCGTGATATCCACCGAGGGGGGACATTGATACAATAAAGAATATATGACATCATCACCCGCTTCTAAGAAACTTACTGAAGACTAAATGTCAATATTTTTAAACCCCTCGTCCACTCTACCCGATCTAATCATCTTCCTCCCATTAAATTGAGGACTCATTAAATTGCAACTTAGGTAAATTGCAAACTCAATTCATTGCACCCAACTGCTTCCTAAACTCAGTGTAATTATAAGTTTCATTGACCCCTGACTGAAACCTTTTTCTGTTTTGTTATCTAAGACATTGAGATTTGAATAGTGACAGTTTTTTTTTCGTTTCGTTACATAGAAAACTCTATCTTTTCATGTAAGTAATACGTTCATCGCTTATTGCTATTTTTTGCGTTTAGGCACATAGTTATGATAAGCTTTGCTTGGTGAACATTTTGGAAATAAAGTTATTTCATTAAGTATTGGTTTATTTTGTTGTTTTTTTTATTCGAACTTCAAACTGGCAAAAGTTATATAACCCACAAACAGTTGCACCGAATATAGGTAGTTACCTACATTTTGTACATGATTTCGGATTTGATAAAGAACTGTTGGCGCTGGCAACACTGTTTACCGGATATGACGTTATCTACTCGAGCTAAGGGACACATGGTGGTATGCAGCAGCGGTCACTTGGATTTCGACTGCGTTCCCGGACGGTGATATAACCACTAGTGCTGTTTGTTGTTATATTAGTTGTTAATATTCAAGTTCAGTAATAGTTAAAATGGTAAGGATCAAGGTAAAAACGTTAGAACTCTTATATCAGAAGTGGGATTCAATACGAAAACTCGCGTTTGGCTATTCAAACAATCGGCGACATATTTTCTCCTTGGGTACCTACCCTCGTAAAATAAAACAGTGTGTTTTATAGTTACTATAAGTAATGGTGATAAAATCTTTTAGTTAAATGTAACGAAAATTTTGGTGAGTACCTTCCAGTTAATTAATTAAAAATATTTGAGAAAATGTTAAATAGCGATACACAACTGGTTTACCCGGTTAAGCTACCGAGCATTTAGTAGTTGGAAAATTTAAGGCGTGAACCGGCGATGGATATCCATTGTAAACACTATCACTGGTACATAGACAAAGTAGCAATACACGACTGGTCTAACCGGTAAAGCTACCTTAGTTGATAAATCGATGAAAACTGTGAAGGTGGCGATATGCATCCCAGTTGTGAGGGATAAGCCACAGGATAAGTGTTTTGAACGTGGCGATATGCATCCCAGTTGTGAGGGATAAGCCACAGGATAAGTGTTTTGAACGTGGCGATATGCATCCCAGTTGTGAGGGATAAGCCACAGGATAAGTGTTTTGAACGTGGCGATATGCATCCCAGTTGTGAGGGATAAGCCACAGGATAAGTGTTTTGAACGTGGCGATATGCATCCCAGTTGAGGGATAAGCCACAGTGTAAGGTGTTCTGAACGTGGCGATATTCATCCCAGTTAAGGAAGATAAGCCACAGGGTAAGGTGTTAATTTTATGAAGGTTACTTGTACCAGACTACAACGCCCTTCGAGGACGAAGGCGTGATGCAGGACGGCCGAATGTTGGCGCTGGCAACACTGTTTACCGGATATGACGTTATCTACTCGAGCTAAGGGACACATGGTGGTATGCAACAGCGGTCACTTGGATTACGACTGCGCTCCCGGACGGTAATATAACCACTAGTGCTGTTTGTTGTTATATTAGTTGTTAATATTCAAGTTCAGTAATAGTTAAAATGGTAAGGATCAAGGTAAAAACGTTAGAACTCTTATAGAACAGTTCTGACGAAGAAGAATGTCTAACTCATACAAAAAATGATCATACCTATCTAAAATTTAGGTGTTAACTGATTTTATTACGTACCTAACTACACTTTTTTAATTTATTCACTCTTTTATCATTTAAAAACCGGCCAAGTGCGAGTCGGACTCACGTACGAAGGGTTCCGTGCCATTATCTATAAACACTGATTTTCTAATATCGTCGATAATTTATTAAGTAATTTTAAACTGAATATATTAAATCTATTTAATACCTGTATTATATGTCTCGTTAAAAGAGCACGTCATTATTTTTTTATTGAAGTGAAAACTATCCAGGGCACCTCTCATAAAGTACAATGTTCAGAAATACCGTAACTTTTTTCAAACATTGAGAGATTTTGGAACGAAGACATAAGTAGTTATGATATAGGTCAGAAGATTAGTAAGCTGAAATGGCGATGGGCCGGCCATATAGCTCGTATAACCGATGGGGAAGAAAAGTTCTTGAGTAGCAGCCTTGTACTGGCCATCGCAGTGTAGAGCGATCTTCCACTAAATGGGAGTGAAGATCTGCAAGGGCAGTCTGTGGGGGAGGCCTATAGGGCAGCAGTGGGATCAAAACCGACTGAAATTATGACGATGAACAATATAAGCCATCAATACGCGATCGTATAGTAAAATTAACAGTCTATACATGTCCCATAACTGGGTCATGTATAGGCTGTTAATTTTGTTGTTTTTTTTTGTTGTTTTGTTATTTTGGCTGTTAATTGTTAGGCTTGGGTCAATTAACAGGTGAACAGTTTAAATAATATAAGAACTATTGCAGATTTAGATACTGCTAAAGCGATGCACTTAGATTTTAAACAGTGAAAAACGCGAACACGTTATAATTATTTGTGTGAACCACAGACAAAACCATACCAGATCTGGATGTGTGCTTCAGCGGGCGGCTGTAAAAAACTTGGCAATGCCACTAACCAGATATGTAAGAGATATAAAAAAAATTGTTTAATTAAATTTTAATTAAAAAAAAAATCAGATATATAAAAGTACCCTTTGCCACTAACACGATCTTCTGCAGACCACACCTAGGTGGCAGAGACATTTTAGTAATATTACTATCGACGTTATTTTCCTCTCAAACTATTTATCTTGTGCAATTGGAATAAACATTTATTACGGTCTATTATCTCTAACATGATAAAAAACGTATTAAAGACTGTAGGTTGGTCGGCCAAAATAAAATAGTGAGGATAGCGTAAACAACTTTATATATTAATTAGACTGCTTCCTACTTATTAGGACAGAGTAACGTCCTATACAAAGGATAAGAATGTTCTACCCTATCACTGAAACATTATGCGCTTATATACAAAAATATAATGAGTCATCACAACTACATTACAAATCAATGCACTTATTAAATTACAAATACAGTTAATAAGATTGACCTATTAAACTATAAATTATTATTAAGCATGGTTTATTATATAATATTATACCAGATATGGTTCAATGTTTATTAAGTATAATTGTTATTGCTCGTATATTGAGCAGTGATGCCAGTGGATTTTAACACTCGGCCATCCTGCTGCAGCCGTGTCCCACGGCGATCTTCCTGGCTTTCAGTATTGACATAGGAATCCTGAAAGATAAATAACACGGCAGTCACTGTGTAGAGACAGAATATACCTTTCTTTTTATTTATATTATATATGTTAATAAATTGTTTATATAGTATATGATCTGTTCTTTGATATTATAACACCCTCGATCCAGGCTTGAACACACAGCTGCCCATAAAAATTTCATTATTGCATAATATGGACTTTTTCACACAGCCGCCCTTCTAGTAATAACTTTCATTATTTTTTCTACGTATCACACAGCCGTCACATGTAATAAAGATCACACAGTTCTATAATTTGTGCATTATGGACTTAATCACTTAGCCGCCCTGTCACTTTTTTGATCACACAGTAAGTTTTCCCTCTTGCTACGGACTTCATCCCACAGCAGTCCTTTCACAATGATATAAGATCACACAGTTTATTTTTCCTTTTTTTTAGTATAACTATGGAATTGGGCACACAGTCTACCATTTTAAACATAATAATAATTATATGTATATATAGCAATGCATAAGTTTGTTATATACCTGGATGTGACAATATTAGCAATATTAAGTAAATATCAAGATGTGTGCATTTATGCACGCATTGAAATTGTGATTTATCATTTTATCTAATGCTTAAAATATCACCAACCTATTGCGCATGTGGTCTAGATGCTCCCGATGAAAACCAGCACGTTGCAGTCGTATGTCCAATACGCAGTATAGCAGCGTTGTTGCAGCATGCGGCCACGCGCCTCATGACCTTGACGGCGACACGTAGCACAGCTTAGGTTGGAGTTGATGTTGGGTTGATGTTTCACTGGCTACATTATCAGTTCCTCTTCTCCATACGCACCTTTTACATTATGCTACTGTTTTAGATCGGAATTCGGAGATAATCTCCGCAATCTCCACATCACTTGCACATGAAGAGTATTTCACTCACTCAAGCGTACCAAGTTGATATTGACCAACATAAAGTAAAGCAAAGCATTATATTTCAACATAATATGCAACACAACTAATCACTTGCACTTGAAGAGTATTTCACTCACTCAAGCGTACCAAGTTGATTTTGTCCAACACAAAGCAAAGCATTACTCTATTAATGCTTAAATACCTTTTAATTACTGGTACAGTATTCTATCTATACTGGTTTACTCAAAAGCGAAATTAATTTCGCACACTATTCAAGGAATATTTTAAAATATTTAAGATATAAACACAGTTTTATTCCAACATTAGTGGCAAATAAACAATTTAAACAGTTCTATTATAAATATCTTGCCCAATACATTTTTTTATGTAGGACCTATATTATACGTCCCTGATTAGTTCTCCTATAAACTTTTCCTCTGAAAAGTTCAAAATAATTAAAAATATATTTATGGTGCTCGGCCTCTCCTGATGCAAATGACTCGTACTTGTAGCTTAATATAATTATAGCGACTAAATTACTTTAAAAAAAGTAAATACACGCGAGTGAATTAAATCAGATCACTCGGTACAATCAATATATCGCACTCAACCATAGATATCATCCCAAAACGTACATCTATCAGCCAAACAAAATCTGAAAAGGGACCGTTAACTATTACCTTTCTTATTTATGTG